CTATATGAAAACTGAAAGGTAAGTTTACTTTAATGGCCTGATTATTCCATCTGACACTAACATATTGTAACTCATGACAGTTGTGACCAGAATCAACCAAATGGATGGGTGGGTATGAGTATTTGTATGTCTCTGTGTATATTTTTGTTCCATGGGATAAGGCACAGAGTTCGGAGCCAGGGAAAATGAGTTCTGTTTTGCTGTGGGCACCGTCTTACTATATTTCAGTAGGCAAGTCACTTATCTTTTCTGTGGCAAAAGTTTCCTACCTGAAAAATGGAGAAAGATCCTTTTATTATTTAGCTCCATTTTTTGTTTGATCAGTTTTGACTGGGCCACCTCAAAGATGTCAGTGTTCTTGTTCTCATTTACTCAAAAGTTATCTTTGAGAAAATGTGCTTCATGTTTTATAAAGCACTGAAGTAGAGAAAATGTTATTAAACAAATTCACACTTCCCTGGACAGCTGATTAGATTCGGGCCTGTGTTTTTGACTTTTATTTACATTATTCTTTGTCTTACAGTTTGGCTAAACTCTGGCAAGTGACTACGAAGATGCCATTGATTATTTTCTCTTAATGAGTTCAATTGTGCTCAGTTTACAAGTAAAGATGTGACTTTTTAAAAGGGCTCACCCTAAAAACTTAGGCTGGTCTCAAAATCTTTTTCAATGATATCACAGTCTGAGTAAGAGTTCTTGAAATGGTGTTGAAAACAATTTAGGCCTCTCTTTATCATCACAAACTGCTTTCAGTATTTGAGAAATTGCATCTGTTGCTGACTCGAGATACAGAGATACAGAATGTGCTAGTGTAAACAGTGCTAAAAGTTCAGCCATATTCTTCTTGGTTTGGGCCTCATTACTCATGTTGAGCATTCTACATTTGGATAGCTTAGGTCCTGTTTTCAGAAGTGACTTAGGAGCCAAGGTCTCCCAGAAAGTGAATTAAACAGACTCCTAAATTACTTAGGTATAAATTGTGCACTTAGTTAATCTTGCTGGTGATGTGCAAGTCACATGTAGAATCCCTTTTGCTCTTCCATAGCCCTTTTTGCTCTGATGGGTAACACTGGTAAAAAGGTAATCAAAACTTGTTTTTGTCATTGCAAAAAAAAATCAAGCATCTGTGACTCCAAATTCACATTGATCCACTGAGTTGTGAAGATGCTTCTTTTCTGATCGCAACCATCCCTAAATTACTCACTTGAGCCAGGAACACCTATTCTTTTGTAAGGCCTGAAGATGACAGCTAGAGTGCAGGTAGTTGTTTTCTTGCAAAGGTGAGAGATGACAAAATTATTAGTTTCTATTTACTCCCTGCGTGTGTATATTAATTAAATTACATTATATTGCTCTTTTAAGGAGGCATGTTGTCAAACAATTCTCCATGTCATATTTTCTTAGTAATTCAGAAAATAACCCAATGACTTTCACGCTGTTAAGAACTCCATTTGGATTAATTAACTGGTATACTGCAACTACTATATTTTAGTTGAATGCAAGTTGGCATAAAAGGCATAAAAATAAATACTGCTACTTCTGCAACTTAACAAATACACAGCACCTCTGGTCCTACAATATTAAAGAATTTCACAAATACGGAGGTTAACCTTATTGCAAAGATGGGGAAACTGAGACACAAGGTCACATGGTGATTCAGAGAATCCTAGCCTGCAGACCTTTATTCACATAGGGTGAATTTACTGCATTTGCATAGAGTCTGAGGATGAAATCCTGGTCCCATTGAAAATAATGAGAGTTTTGCCACAGATGCCAGGATTTCATCCAAGTACGTGGATTCTGTGCAGCTGGGAAGTGAAATCCAAACATAGGCCGATGGAGAGGGTTATTGTGCAGTCCCATATTCCGTTTCAGCCTACAGCTGGGAATATTTACATAGTTCTTTCACCCCAGTTTCATGGGGTCATGAGACCTCTGGACTTGTATAACCATATTTTCTCTGGCACTTCAACTTGCTCATTCCCACCCCTTCCCCAGGGCATTTTTCCTCATTGGCCTATGCAAAGCTGATGCAGAGATGGAACATGTCTAGGAACTCAGCTGCCTGACAGCTATGTAACCCCTAAACAAGGCTTAAATGGTAAGAAAGACCTTGCATTATCTCCCCTTCATCAGGCTTTAGTAAGGTGGAAGTCCAGGGAGCAGAAAACTTGATATCAGCTGAGTGGTGTTCTATTCTCATCTATGCCTCAAAGGCCTGATCCTGCAAAGCTTTACTAATGTGAGCAGCCCATTGAAGTCAGAGAGACTGCTAGAGTGAAAAAGGCATTGCGGGTTCAGGCCTGTTGGGGAAGAGCACTCGGCTCTCTGTTCCAATGGCTAAAAAGAGCTACTTCAGCCAGAAGCAGAACAAGTTATCCCTCCGTGTTTGTGTTGTCTATTACATCGGGTCATGGCCTTTAGGTATGTCCAAAATACAAATATTACTATAAGAATTTATTAATGTGCTGTCATCTTTCAATAATGCTCAATACAGGAAAGAAGTTACTAACTGCTACACAAATTAGGAAGCAGACACCACCAACCTGCCCCTAATTTTTAGGAACTTATGTGAATTTTAAGGAAAAAGTGTGTGTCGCATCAGGGGCTGTGAACTTAAAACAGATAAAATGACTTGGTTCATGTCATTGATAGCTGACATGATAGTCCGGAGTAAAATAAGGTGTTTTCTGATATCTTAGATCACTTAGTTTTCTAAGTACTTATTATTTTCCTTAAGTAACTATCCCTCATGCCACATGCATCTTTTGTCCTTGATTTTATTAATGACTCCCTCAATTTCTCTGTGAGGGGTTGAGAGGCAAAGAAGGGAGTAAGGAACCATTTAACAACATTGGCTCCCTTTAGCATCGAAAGGACCTGTTTTTTTTTTTTTTTTTTAAATCTTTCAATAGGGAATGAGCTGAAGACTATAAGTTTAGACAACTTCATTAGTGGAGAATACAAAGGGAAGAGCATGAACATTATTGAGTTTAACAGGAATCCCATGGAATTAACAGAAAGCCCAATTGCAACAACAAGGACTGCTCAAGGACACCCGCCTTTGTCTTAATATTGCCTTAATGAGCTATTACTAAGGCTTCACTAACAAAAAAATCCATTTTGGATCAATATAGACACACACATCCTGTGAAGTGCCTTCTGTTGCCAGGACAAGATTAACAGATGTGTTAACTTTATGACAGTTTGGCTGAAAACATCACAAAAAAGAAATACAAGTTGCCTGCAACTTCTTAGATACCTTCCCTTTGGAAAACACAGTATTTGACTACGTTTGATATTTTATTGGTGTCCATGGAGATCAAGGCTTACGAATGCAAAAAATCCATACTTTTGATGAAACAGGTACAATATATTGTAAACACTGAACAGGGAGTTTTTATGATTACATTGTATTCTGAAATTAAGCCCTATCAACAGGTAGGAAGATTGTTCATGGATTACTAAAAATATCACATCTGTGTGCTAAAAAACCCCTTGTTTTAAGTCTTGACATGGATATTTATTATTTAGGATTCTTTAACATAGTAAAATGATAGATACAGTGGCAAATCTCTGTTTTATATGATAAATTCATCATGACGTCTATCTTCCTGCCAAAGATAAAGATATTGGCAAAGTCAACAATAAAATTACAAATTTATCACTTAAGACCACGTGGTTTTAAAATACCTTTAAAATGTTACAAGTAAAAAAAACACACGCTATTTAATCTTTAATATGATCACATTCTCTTGGTGTCCTTTTCCTAAGAGTTGGATTAGTTTTTAGACACATGCCTTTATTATCATGAAACACTATGCTGCTTGAAATACAGGACAGAGGTATTTTTCCCACTGAAGTTACAGATTTATTGCATTAAGTTCTAATGAATATTTCCTATGAAGCTTTCAGTGTTCCTAATAAGATTAAACAGACTACTTTTGGTTATAGAGCCACTTTAAAAAAGAAAATAGTGTCTGTTTCCTAACTAGATACATTAGATTCACTAAGCTTTTGATTAATTTCATGTATCTTAATAACTGAAGGGCACCATGTTGATACAGACTATAAGAGCAATTTTATTTGTAAGTAGGCTAAGTGAAATACATCTTAATGCAAATATATAATGCATATTTCTAACATGCCTGTGTCAAGTTTTAAGCTAATTTCAAACACAATGAATAATGTTAAAAACATATGCTCAGAGTTTCTCACATTCGGGGTTCTTTTTGAAAATTTATAGATGTTTAATCCATTTGGAAGCAACAGGAGAAATTCTATAAAGGAATGCTATGGAAAATTTAGAAATGAACAGTGATTTAACCCAAAGGGAAATGAATAGTACACTAAAATTATAATCCACAAACATTTTAATGAGACCAACTTTTTCAGAGGGGAAAATAAAGTGTCATGATTATATCATCTTTTATTCTTGACCTTTCAGTCTTTACTGCCTTCAATAATTAGAAACAATATACTTTTCAGCTTTTCATTTTAAGCACATCAATTATATAAAACTAAACCATTTTTAATTGAAAATTTACTGTTCTATTTTCAGCAAATTCTGTTTGATATGAAACTATTTAGTAATTAAATGCTATTTAAATTTAATGACGTCAAGGACAAACACAAATTATTATTATATAACCAGAAACTATGAAGCACATCCAATCTGAAGGACATACCGTGAACACATCTTGCCAGGGAAACTTTCTCATTCAGTCTGATGAAATACAAAAAATGAACTTAAGAAACATGTAACATACATCTGAAAATTACTTTTATAGATTAAGAAAAAAGTGCTTGGAAATCCTCATCGTTCAGAGAAAATCTTTCAATCACCTAGCAACCTATGTTGCTGCTGCTTTCAGTTTTGAACAGGCAGCCTTCACATTTAAAGATATATCTGAGCCAACTGATGCAACTGCAAGTTTAAAGCAAAACAAAAACAAAAACAGATTTGTGTGTGTGTGGTTATTTAAATAAATTGCCCCTACCTTTCTTCTGAGAATACGATGGCGACTGCACTTGAGAAAAAGTAGGTTTTTCTTCTGTGAAATATTCAGGTTGGTTGTACTGATTCAGGGCCATGTCCATGTCAGAGTACTCGCTTTTAAACACGTTTCCAGGGTAACTACAGGTATATGGCTGATTCACCGCCCAGGCCTGTTCCATATATATGTTGTTATTGTGCAGGACCTGAGCATCACAACTGCTGTAACTCTGACTATCTTCAATATATGTGCAATAATCAGCAGACTGCATGTAGCAATTGCTACCAGCAGCAGGATGCACTTCATATATTTCTTGCATACAGTAGCTCATTTTGTTATCTGATCTCAGCTTCTACTTTACATAGACTCAGATACACGCATGCATGTACACACAGACATGCATACACATGGAATGGGAAAGGAGAAATGAATAAACAATGCCAACAAAGTCGATTGCAAAACAGCGTGTTTTACTTGGAGCAGCACCTGATGTGCTAAAATCCTATTTATACTGGGATGGCTTGTGAGCTCCCCTGCCAGTCAAACAGAATGGGAAGCAGATTTATGACAGTCAAAGGTCTTAATCTGTGACTGTAAGTTAATTCCTAGGGAAGATGGCAGACAGGTAGTAATGACCACCAGACACAGACGCTATGGCCAGACAACCCCCCCCAACTGTTTGTTAGAAATAATCATTTATAAACCATTTCAGCCCCTTCCAATATGATTAGACAATGATTACTAAAGTAAGGACACAGTTATGTCACTGTAGTTGTCAACTTAAGTGTGAAGCATTATAAAGACCTCCTAAGAACTCCCAGAGGGGATATGCTGAAAATCCTAAAATCAATAATCCTGTTTTTCAGCATTAACCCACAGAAAATCCAATAGCGCTGTGCTGATGACCCAAACAGTAGTCTAGTTTTACAAAGTTTAGCATCTTAATCTGTCATTAGCTTTATTGATTTTGTTTTATCTGCATGAACCTCCACGCATCACTCACACACATGAACTCCCTGCGGATTGTTAATGTATTTACAATGTATTTACAGGAAAGCAGCTTTTTTAAACTTCAGTGATTTTGGTAGGTAATTTCTATTGAGTTCAACAGGTGGGAACTTCAAAACAATTTGTATTGATCATCAAATAGGATACTGCTTAAATAAGCCAATTGGTTTGCCATTACATCTCTTGTTTGTGTGTTTCAGTAATCAAGTACTTCTTCTTTGAATTTATATTTTATTGCAAATATAATCTGATTCCAGGCTTTCCCCAGTCATTTTATTTACACTCAAGAATAAATATATAAGACCATAAGTTCAGAAACAAATCTATTTTATGATTTTATAGCAATTCATCATCCCAAACACTAGTACTACTACACCAATTTAACTTACTCTCTCCCCCCACTTTTTCTTTACAACAAAAAGTCTTTCTGTTGCCTCTATTTTTCCCTAGACAAAGAATTTTCCTTCAGTATCATGCTACAATATGGCAAGAAGTTTGTGAGAACAGTATTACTCACATTGTGTATTACTCATTGGATCATTAAATTCTTGTTATTGAGAGGCAAAAACAACATTAAGAATGTTAGCTAAAGAAGAAACCATTTCTTAATTTTATTGTTTCACTGATGTTAAACAAAATTCACGGCTCTTATAAATTATGGAAGGTCCCCTACCCCCATTCAGCCAGGAACTTAAACATGGGACTAACTACCTTGATGAACTGAGGCAGAAGGTCTTAAAAAGTACTCATGAAAGGGCAAAGAATGGGTCTTGAGCGGGATACATTGTTCCTCAGTTGGTTTCATGAAACATTTTAGAAAGATTTAAAGAGTACATGAAGGAAAACTCCCTCTTCCTCCAGGCATAACTAACCTATTTTATTATGGGCCAAATCATTACATTCTGATTAGTGCAGAGCACTATCAACTCGCACTGATGCCAGGGCAGGTACTCTTCACTTCTCTAGATTTTATGCATTGTTTCACCTTCTGATTACTTTACATTTGTTTTTTATAACTATACATCAAAATAGAAGTTAACAGAGTTGTTTCAGGAATGAAATTGTCCTTTTGAACTCTCATGGTTGAAAGTGTCACCACACATATTTTGGAGCAAGGAATGATTACTAAAAACTCCAGATACAAGTCCCAAAACACCATACACACTTCTCTCCTTTGTTCTTCAGTATCTCAAATGCAACAAAATATAATTTAAAATGAACCTTTCAGTAATGTGAAAAACAAGTTACTTTATCAAAACACATTGTAATTGTAATTTTGGTTTTAGCTGAAATTTATGCCATAAGTTTCCAAAGTAATGAGTTGTGTTTTTGGGTGTTTAACTTGAGACATCTTAACTGGACTTGTTTTTTCAGTATGGATGCGTGGCAATTTCTGAAAATCAGTCCCCTTAAGGGTGTTTTAACTAGAGTGCTGAAAAGTGAACTCCACATATTACTATGTTGATTTGCTTGTGCCTGATGTTTTTTTCAGCCACATTATTCATGTCTTTAAAGGAAAAAAAAAACCCAAACCAATAAAAACAAAAACCCATCCTCTCCTTCCCCTCCCCCCCCAATTATCTTCTCCCTCAAAAATAAAAGAACCTTCTTTACCAAGCATTAGACCGAGCCAAGGCCACAACACAAGCTGAAAATGTGCATTAGAAAGCAATCACAAAAATTTTGGTGAAACAATTTTCAAAATTATTTTTCCTTTATGATTTATTGTATATAAACATCAGATACAAGTGCATGAATATTTTGGTAATTGTCACAGATGTCTTCCTTGACAATGCCACTACCACAAAATGGCCAGGAAAATTTGCAATATTTATTAATGCAGTAACACATGAAACATATCAGGCTATGTGACTAATTTGTGTTTATTATACAAACACACCTATTGAAAATACTGTACCTGAATTGCCCGGAAACAAACTGCTTCATACACGCATGAGGGTATTTTTTGTATTACCGCACACAACTTCCATGACACCTAATGTAAATTTATGTAAGAGCATGTAGCAAGATGAGATTATACACTACAGAATAGACTAAGCATGTTTTTTCCTCAAATGTTGGTATGTCTCAAGCACTGTTTACCTGAATAAACCCTGGGTAATTTAATTTAATAATGGATTATATATATTGGAAATTTGATATTTCAAATTAATTTCTTTAACTTTCAAATTAATTATTAGCAATTAAAAAAATTAGTTACAGAAATATAGAAGAAGTCTAATTTTTTGAAAATATTACCATTTTAAATACCATCCCCATAGATCTTTACACTATCACTGATTCCACTTCTGTTTAACAAGGAAATCACGAATGGATCTTTCAGAAAGGTCTGAGAGTTGAACAGGCCTTATCTAGTGAAGATAGAAACATTATATTATTACCTCTGTATGGGAGCCATTTTGAATACACATTTCCTGATATCAGCTTAGGTGAACATATAACATTTTCTGTCTTTTATTCCATATATTTCATGGTTTCAGAATCATGAAATTATTAAGGACAAATATTGCCATCAGATGCTATGTAATTTCCAGTAAAATGAGACAGAATCCTAGCTCGATTCATATCCCAAAGCAGCATTTGTCCCTAAACAATTACTACTTCTAGATAAAGACATATATTAGTAATATGTTTTAGTCTGAAGAGACTAACAAGCATATCTGAGCTAAATTATATTTAGCAAATTGCAAAGATAAAGATTATGTAGGTGTCAATCTTTCTTTGACTAAATCTGCATGGAATTTAAGTTCTTCATTATTCTAGAAAAACAAGTGGATAGTTACTTTTTTTTTTTAATGGAGAAAACTGACATAGTGCACTGGTGATTTCTTCAATATTCATATACCAAGAGTGATATCCTGGCTGCATCAAAATCAATCTGAGTACAGTTTAGATGTGAATGGGGTCAGGATTTCATTCCTACACTTTTCTTTGAAGTAAATTTGGGGGAAAGACCTGAACAATACATGCTGAGAAACAGACTAATTTAAATTAGAAAATAAATATTATAAAGCTGAAGGGAACAGACTTGAAATTAAATCTTGTATATAGAGTGGAACAGAAATCACATCCATTCAAATGGAAAGACTAGAAGAGTTGTTGAAGATGTATGCAACACATAAGTTGCAATACTGTGTATAGGGTTGCCAGGTGTCCGGTATTCACCCGGACAGTCTGGTATTTTCGCCTCCTATCCGGTAAAAAAAGTTCAGAAAATACCAGACACCTGAGATGTCCGGTATTTTCTGATTTTTTTTTCCCTGCCAGGAGGCAAAAATGCCAGGCACCTGGCAACCCTACAAACACTCAGCGCCTGGCCTTCCCCCCCTCCCAGCCCCCAACACCCCCTGCTCCCCGTTCCTAGACCCCATGCTTACCTGGTTCTGCAAGGCTGCCAGCACAAAATCGCTGCTGGCAAAAAGACCAAGGGGAAGCAATGCCTCCCCTGGGTCTTAGTGCTTAACCGTTCCCCTGTTTTTATCCCTATTCTGACTGCACTCACTCCGAAAGGGGACATGCTGTTTTATTTTTTTCTTAATAGGTCTTGGAGTCCTTTTTTCCCCCCCTCTCTCAACAACTTTGGTCTCCCTCCAACTTTTTTTTTCTTCAACAGAATTCCCCCCCCCTTTTTTTGTGGGGGTAGGAGGGTGTTCGGTATTTTCGGTTCAACCATCTGGCAACCCTATCTGTGTATTGGACATGTTACACATATATTTGTTTCTGAAAACTAGGCTCCAGCACTTGGAAAATAAATCTCATTTAGTCAGAGAATGGATTGTTGCACTGACTCTGACATGCCAGAGAGTCCAAGCTGCAGATGCAAAACAACAAACAAACTGGTGGGCCACAGTGGTCTGAACCTACATAACAAATTCAGTTTTTGCATTCCCTCAGTGTAATGGCCAATCTGAAAGCCATTTGACCAAGTGGTCAGGCTATGGTTCCATTCCATAATGCTTTTCCGTCTCTCTGATCTGGAGAGGGCCCCTCCAGGTGATATATGGTAAGAATCAGCCCCTCCTGTGTGTTCATTCTTCCTCTCTTTAGGGCTCTGTCATGACAGAAGAGAGTGGTGAAGAAGGTAGTGGGATCTGGGCTGGAGGTGGGAAAAAAGGCCCATCCTGCTCTTTGGGCCTTCTCCTGGGTTTCCAACGTCAAAGCAGAGGGTGAGGGGAATGTGGATCATTGCTTCCAGCATGTTCTTACTAGTGCCACAGTCACTCTGTCCAAAGCTCCAGGGGTCGAACTAACTCCCTGGAACAGACTGTAGCTTCCTCCTTGCTTACCCTGGGCTGCCCGGGCCCTTTTAAGCGATCCCTCCCATGGAGCATGTCCTACAGCCCAAAGGGTGGGGTCTCCCTAGCCCAGTATTGCCCCATTCTTGCTCTGGTTTAGTGAGGGGGTCTGTAAACCCCATCACAGTCAGCGGTTGTAACTCTAGAAGCTGTAGCATAGACAGGACTCAGCCATTTTTACCACTGGTTTGTCTAACCCTGGCAATTTGT